CACAGTGAGACTCTGTCTCAAAAAAAAAAAAAAAAAAGAAGAAGCTCTGCCATTTGCACTAGGGCCAGCCCTCCTGACTCTTTGCAGTGCCCACCTAGACCAGCACACCAGTCCTCCTGTGCGGGAAGCCCCTATGTATGAAACTTCATACTCTGACCGCAAAGAGACAGAACAGGAAATAAGCACGACTCCTCTCTTTGGGGGTCTGATGGTGAGAAAAGCCTGCACACCAAAGAGGGTCCCAGGCCAGAGATGCAGGACCTGAACCCTGGCATGAAGCCATAAGCACAAGCTCATCTACAGCTAGCTCTTGCTCACTCATTCCCATGGCCAGCAGTGATCAAGCCAGTAAAGAAGCAATGCCGTGTGCTTTAGAATGTGGCTTCGTGCTTGTATTTGATAATGGATGCCCCTGGTTAAGCCAATGCAGCTCTTGAAATAGCAGGGCCGCTGCAAGATGAGACCAGCGGGTTATGTCAACAAGTTGTCCAGCTTCCTCATCACAGCAGGTTCAGGAACACTCACCGTTTCCTGATTTATACCTTTCCTCAGGATGGGGAGGGGGAACAAAGTGTTTGCCAGTGTAGATAACATTCGGAGCCTGATTGGAGTGAGGGGTGTTTTCTTGAGTAGACTGTGTGAGTTTTGAAGGAAGGACATGATGAGCGGTGTTCCTTTTCTTGGCCCTTTAATTTAACAAATATTTACCGAGCATCTTCAGTAGGGCAGTACCCTTGCAAGGTACTTTTGCGGAATCAAGGGTGAGCCAGACAAGTCTTGCCTGCAAGAACAATAGCATCAGGTACCCATCAAACTAATGAAAAATAGTCCTTGAAGAGACTGCCATGTGCCGCCCCCTGGGGGAGTCGTAGGGAGTTAGTGTGAACCATCAGACGCTGCCCCTGCCTCCAGGAACCTGCAGTCTAACAGGGGAGACTGATCCTGAAGAGCAGTGACAAGTGTGGCGAGTGTGAGGACAGGGAGCATTCGGGGGGTCTTGGGAGTGTCTAGCCGGGAGCTCTACCCTAGACTGGGGAGTCCGCAATGGCCTCCGTGAGCAGTGACATTTCCACTGAGATTGGAGGGCAGTGATGGTTAGATAAGCAGATGGGGGTGCAGGACAATGACAGAGGGTCCCCTGCAGAAGAAACAGCAAATGTGAGGGTCTCGAGTCAGAAAAGAGCCAGGTGCTTTTAGAGGACACCATGAAGACCAGAGTAAGTAAGGATTTTGGATTCGACACTAAGGGCAATGTTAGGCATGGGTTTGGGGTGATCCAATCTACTTTTCTAAAAGACCATGCGGGATTCTCTGTCGAAGAAAGGTTCTAGGCTGTTGTAGCAATCCAGGCTAGGGAGAGTGGTGGCAGTGAGGATGCAGAGAAGTAGGCAGATTCAACAGCTATTTGGGAGGAAAGAAAGTAGGACTTGGCAGGACTGATGAGTAAGTAAGAATCAAAGAACACCCAGGTCTCTGACGTGAGAAGCTGGGTGGATGCTGGGGCCCTGTACAGGACAGGATGTAATGGAGGAGACTCAGGTTTAGGGGGCTGGGGTGATGAATTCGATTTGCATATTCTCTATGCGTCAGTTTCCTCATATGTAAAATGGGTTGTTGTAAGTTTTAAATACACAAATAAACATATGTAGCATATAGTAACACCATATAGGTATGTGAGGTGCCCAGGGGACCTTAGAGTAGAGAGGTTCAGCAGGTGGTTGGGCCCCAGGCTCTGGAGCTCAGGAAATTGGCGGGTAGGGGTACAGGTTTGAGAGCATTTGGGATAATAACTAAATCCTTGGGAATGGGTGAGGAGGCCTCCCCTAGGGAGAAGCATAGAGGGAGGAGAGGAAAGGACACCAAGTTTGGAGGCAGGACAGAGGAGGAGAAGCCATCACAGGAGCCCAGGCAGGAGCAGAAAGTGGAGCAGGAGAGACTGCCCGAGAGCACGGTTGCTGAAGGGACCAGGGCAGAGAGATTCAATAAGGAGGGAGCGGCCAGCAGTCACACACTATCCAGGCTGAGCAGAACTGCCAAGAAATGCCCACTGATTTAGAGGTAGAGACCACCGGCTGGAAAAGACAAGTGTATACCTAACCACAATACAAGATCACATGTGACTGCTCAGAAACTTCTCAGTTGTGCTCCTTGGAAAGTGTGGACTAGCTGGTGGAGCCCACGCCTCGTGTGTGCTCCGCCTGGTCTTGGTGGTCCTGTGGGTGGAGGGGCTGCCTCTGACAGACACTACCTGTGTGGGGCGGGGGGCGACCTGTGTTTTCGCGGGGCACCCCTCCTCCTCTGCTCAGCACCTGTGCTCACTAGCTCTCCCCAGCCTGTACCAGGACTCGGGCCTAGGTTGGGGCAGCCAGAGAATTTCTGGGGGAGAGATTCCAGGGGCAGGTAGACTTGAAGGATGGGGCAAGGATCTGAGAGGGAGGCAGAACTAGGTCTGTAGATGACTCGGTCTTTGTCAGGCTTTGACTTGTGGTGTTGACAAGCCGAGGAAGGAGAGAAGGAGGACAAGAAACCCTTGGCAGAGGAATAGGGGCTAGCAAAGCAGTGAGGGCGATGGGCAGGGAACAGGGCAACCTGGAGCAGGAGGGTGGGTTACAGCCTGTCTCTACAGGGTGAGGGGCGGGCAGGAAGAAAGGGGAGCATCGATAGAACGCCCATGGGCTTGGGTTGAGACAAGGGGCTAGGGCTGTGTTTCTAGTAGAGAAAGAACTGCCTTATATCTTTGATGCTCTTTGGGAGGAAGACGGTAGCTGAAGAATAGGTTTGGGGGAATTGTAATTCCCTGTGGGGAAGGACATTCTAATGTCACCCATCCTGGTTTCAGTCATATTTTTTCTTGCCATCTCTGCAGGATGAGTTGGATCTCACTGACAAAAACCGGGAGGCTATGTTCGCCCTGCCCCCAGAGAAGAAATGGCAGATCTACTGCAGCAAGAAGAAGGTGACCTCTCTGGCCTCTCCCCTGCCACATCTCAGGGTCCCCAGCATGGGGCAGCTCGTGCTGCCTTGCTCGCTCATTCATTCAACACGCCAGCATGTTCTAGGCATTGAGGAACAACAGTGAATAAAACAGAAAAAAAAAAAAAAAATCCCATTCCTCCTGGAGCTGAAATAGGGAAATAGGATTCTCTTTTCCAGAAACTCTTTAAGCAGGGCCTGCTGGGCTCCAGGAATGGGGCTGTGTTAGAGAGATGCAAAATGCAGCGTGGACTCCCTTCTTGTGCCTGTCCCCAGGCATGCGGGACATGCAGCCCTGGGCCACACCTGGGAGCAGCTTCGTTGGAATAATTCAGTTTGCAGGGGGTGGGGGTACAGGGCTTTTAGAGTTTTTAGATCTTTGGCCTCTGCCCTGTCCCAGGCTAGGATCACACATCAGTCCTTGTTCTCCCCACCGTTTCCTCCCTCTCCTGTTGTTCATTAAAAGATGTGGTTAGTCTCTTGATTGTGGCCCTCCCTGAAAAGGGGTGTGCTGGGCCCCAGTCAGGGCTTAATTGGATTTTATCTCCTCCCTCTGCTTTGCTGGTGGCTGCGTGTTCTCTTCTCTTCCTCTGTGTCCATCTCAGAGTCTTTCTCGCTCAGCTCCTTTTCCCTGTCTCTCTCCTGCCCCCTTTCTATTTTAGCCTTTCTGTTTCTTTTACTCTGGTTTTTCCTTTCTCGGCCCACCTTTCTCCTCGCCCCTCGCCCTCCTACTTTTCAGACTTGGGTCGCAGCTTGGCCCTTTGCCCTCAGAGGATGGGTATTTGGGGATCAGAGCCTGGTCATTCCTGCACCTGAGACTCAGGCCCTCTCCCTCCTGGCAGGAGGCGGCAGGTCTGGGCCGAGTCTGAGCTGTTTCTCCTTCATGCTCCTGTGAGCGTTCGTAGCTCTTCTCTTACTCTCCCTGGCCAAGACAATCGTCCCGTTCCTGGGGCTCCACACTGAGCCAGACCTTAGAAAATTGGAAGAATAGAATCATACACTATTTCAGAGTTGGAAGGAACCTGAGAAACAATCCAATCTCTTTATTCTTCATTTATTATTCTTTATTTTTGTTCTTTATTCTACAGATGAGGCCAGGAAGGCCTGGAGAGGCAATAAACTCTCCAAAGTCACCCAGCCTGTTTGGCAAGTGGCTACACCATTGCTAGAACTCAGGACCGCTGGGGAGAAAAGTGCTGGAGTCTGAGAACCTGTGACAAGCTGCACAAGCTGCACAACCACAGCCACTGTTTAGTGTACTCAGTGCACATTTATTAAGCACCTGCAGAATGTGACGCTGTGTCTATGAATCTCATTGTGAGAAAAGCAGGTCTTAAAAAAGCACAAGTCACGGAAAGGGAGAAGGAAGGAAGGAAGGGAAGAAGGGAGGAAAGAGAGGGGGGAAAGAAAAAAAGAAGAGAAAAATTTCAGGAGTAATTAATCATATTTCATCATTCTCCATTTTCCAAATTGATTTATTATGGAGTTCCCTTAAGTTGATCTCTTGTACAACTAAAATAAAAGATTTATTAAAATATAAGGGCATCTCTCGCTACCTTCCAAACCAAATTATACATAATTTCCCACACACTTTCATACCCCTCTGCCTTCCCACATGGCACTTTCTCGTCTATAACCCCCTCCCAACCTGTCTTAGCCTTAATAATCTTTCATAACTCAACCCAGTCATTTTGGACCACCCCCGGCCCACCCCCCACAGCCGTCTGTGTTAGATTCCCCGCACCCCGAGGCCCGCTATGGACAGCTCCCCACAGAGCGTTTGTCGCCCTTTCTCTGGCATGCACTGTTACATGGAAGGCAGAGGCCATGACTCTTTACTCAGTACTTTCAGGGCTCAGCATGGCGATTGGCATTTAGTAGATGCTCATTAAATGCATATGGAATAAATAAATGATGAGCCAGCGAGTGTAGGAAAGTATGTTTGCGGATGCAATTGTTTTTGGTGGTGTGATTCCCTCCCCAAGGCAGGAGACAATGTTGGGCCTTCAGTCATGGAGATTTTAACACGTATAGCCATGGGAAATCATAAAGACCAAAACAAGGAAGCCTTCCCACTGGTCTAAAATTTGGATTTTATGAAACACAATAGTGAAGTTTGAGTGGACAGAGCTGAGGGATGCAGGGCCAGCTGGCAGCTGCAGAGAGGTGGTTCTGCAGGGAGGGTGTGGAGGAGGTTAAGTTTTCATGTCAATTTGGAAGCAGGAGATTGGCAGAAAGCAGATGCGGGGCACAGGGACAAGAACGAGCAGGACACGTGCAATGCCCAGAAGCAGATCCATTGGCTGGAGGAGGCTGGATTTGCAATCAACATTAGTGTTTATTTAACTCCTGTCATTCTTGCCCACACTTGGGGAGGAGTTGAGACTTTCCTGGGGGCTGAGCACTGGGCCAAAGGTCCTCACATCCGAGCTCTGCCTTCCAGCTACACACACCCTACAGTCAGGAGAGTTAGGAATTAAATCACAGGCCCAGGAGGGGCTCCCGAGTCTTTGCCAAACCCAGGGCCTTGGGAATTTCTCTCTCTCTTTTTGTAAATTGACTATTTATCGAGCACCTACCATGTGCTAGACACTGCACCCAGTGCTTTATGTCAGTGTCCTTAAAGAAGCCGAGAGAAAGACTAAGTTTTAAAATTTCCAAACAACGCAGATGAATACTTTTGTAAAAGATGAGAATGAGATTATCAGAAAAATAAAATTTAGGAAAAGATGTACAAAACGTAAGCACAAATTTGCACCCATTCCAAGTATATACACTTGCATAGTTTCTGTGCATATCAGTGTTTGGTCCTGAGAGTCAATGTTTGTGACTTGCATTTTACCTGGGAAGAAATGGAAGCCTGGGAGATTCTGCAGCTTCCTCCAAGTTACCCCACATGGGCAGGGCTGGGAAATGAATCCCTCTGCGGTCATAGACTGAAGCTTCAGGATCGCAGGCCAGGGGCCTGTCTTGCTGGTTAGTCCATACCGTCCTCTTTCTCGTTCCAGGAGCAGGAGGACCCGAACAAGCTGGCGACCAGCTGGCCAGACTATTACATTGACCGCATCAACTCCATGGCTGCGGTGAGTGGCCGCTCCTCTCCTGCCCTGCCCCCACCTGGAAAGGCTGTGGAGGAGAGTGACCCCCTCTCCCCACCCCTACTACACACACCCCAAACCACTCAGCTGGGGCCCTGCAGCTTTCCAGTTATTCACGAAGTTTTATCATAATCCACCCCTCCTCTGTCCCACCTTAGAGTCCCCCAACCACTTAAACATTTATAAACCCAGCTGGATATCACACAGGCTTGGGAAATAGCCTGGGCCGATCATTCTCCCCATTTCACAGATGAGAAAAGTGAAGTCTGGGCCCAGAACCTGGGTCTTCTCAGAGTCTGACACTGTAATGGTTTTAGTAAACCATTCTCTGAGGCCTGGCCTTTCCTGAGGCCAGGTGGCCCCTGGGTCACACCTGGGCTGGGAGTGCAGGTGGCTGGGAGACAGGCGGCCCAGAGGGACCTCTGTCCCCTTCTACCTGCGGGCCCCTCAGATGCAGAGTCTGTACGCATTTGATGAGGAGGAGACAGAGATGAGGAACCAAGTCGTGGAAGACCTGAAGACGGCTCTCCGGACGCAGCCCATGAGGTGACCCTTCCCTCTCTTCCTCTCCCCCTGCGGCCCTTCTCCACCCAGCCCCTCCACGGAGAGCTCTGCTGCCATGCCGGTCCGCCTGGCGGCATTCCTGAGAGTCCACTTCAGCTCACCTCACGTCCCAGCTCATCCTTCTCCTATCCCGGGGGTGCTGCAGGGTGTTGGGGAGGAGGGCGGATGGACGTAGCAAAGTGGGTAAACCTCAGGTCCTGAGGAGCTCTCTCTAAAGAGGAAGCGAGGGCAAGTACTTGCTGTTTTTTTTTTTTTTTTTTTTTGAGAGAGAAGATGGACTAGAACAGGAGGGTGGGCAAATAGACAAGGTGGAGAAGAAGGAGCTTGCTGAGACGGAGGAGGGACCAGGGGGCGCGCCCCAGCCAGGAAGGAGGTGGGCGTGGGTTGAGAGACATTCCCGCCACTAGGGGGGGATGTGGCGTCTCTGGATGGGCTCTGCCAGGTAGAATGGGAGCCCTGCGGGCAAGGAAGAGGGCAGGGATGTCGCAGAGCCCCAGAGGGACTCCTCCTCCTCCCCAGACCGCAGCGTGGGGCGTTCAGGGAGGGCCTCCCACACCTAGGGGTCTCCTTGTGTTTGCGCCTGCCTATGGGTGTACTTGAACTGGCTCGTACCAGCTGGTGAAAGCCGACTGTTAAATTTTCAGCAGTTTTGTAAGCTCCTTGTTAAACATAGCTATGATTAAAATTTGAATTATAAAAATTTAAGATTCATATAAATTATATCAAAACAAAGGTAACAAATACTTGAAACTCATCACTCCCTAATTACCTGATTATTTTTCTACATTTTACCATAGCATATGCTTTTGAGTTTACACCCATTGTATGTGCGCGGTGGAAACACCGTAGATAGTGCGTCTCTTCCAACCCCACATTCAAGGACGCCAAACTGAGAGCTAGAAAGTGGCTACACTGGGAGTATTTATACCCTAGAAATGAGCAAACACTATAACGATGCCTTGTTCCTCCCCCAAAGAGCTAGTTGTTAGACATTTGCACACATTATGTGTGCGTGTGCGTGTGTGTGTCTGTGTGTGCGTGCGCACGCACGCGCATGCGCTGTGGATGTCTGGCACCCAGATGAAACCGATAGGCTGCTTCTCAGAAATGATGTCTTAAATAATAAAATAAAATCGAGAAAAAGATAAGATTAAAAATAAACCAATTAAATCAAAATACAGCTACCAAGCAGTAAAAATGAGTGAGATAGCAATAAGTGTGCTTCTTTACACCTTAAATAGCAAGAACTAGCAGCGAGTCTGATGACCGCCATAATTTTGAAGAACCGATGAGTGTGAATGGTATTTCGAGACACCTGCAACAGCTGTGATTTGATATGGAAGCAGCTGTGATTTCTTTGGCAAAGTCACAGTAGTGCCACTGCTACTGTCATTTGTTGCCTACATTTAACTTTGAGAAAAAATGCTAAATTTTAGTTAGAGGTTACCAGAAATAAAAATGTAATTTTCTTTTCCCACCCAGGTCCTTGGACCCTGAATGCTGTCCATAGACCCTTTAGGGAACACAGACTCCAAGCTAAGAACCTGTGAACTAAAGTTTTAATATTTTCTGCTAGTGTTCAGATAACTCTACTATTTTCTTAAGGATCACTTGAAATGTATCTTCCCCAGCCTTGATCCCTCAACTCAGTGACTCTGATGGCCTCCCTGTCTGGAAGTCCTCTTTGTTATCTGACTGTAATTCTCTTAATTCCCATCCTCACAGGAGAGGTGTCTTCAGGTTTAATGGCTGTAATAATTATCAGGATCATCCCCGTCACATACTATTTTAGCTATGCAGCTGCTATCAATGATATGCAAATCGTAGTATTTAAAATGCAAATAAGATGGAGTCTTTTGTGAGGACGATAGGATTTCAGTGTTTCAGATAAACTTTATAAAGGAACCAAGCAGCTGCTATAGGTGGGACAAGGTGCATGGTGGTACAAAGGTAATAGGGTAACTATTTGCGAAATGTGTACGGAATCACATGCAAATACGGTAAACCATATTTGCTAATGGCTCTGGCTGGTAGGTTTGTGACCCGCTTCATCGAGCTGGAGGGCTTGACCTGTCTGCTAAATTTCCTCCGGAGCATGGACCATGCCACCTGCGAGAGCCGCATCCACACCTCCCTCATCGGCTGCATCAAGGCACTGATGAACAACTCCCAGGGGCGGGCGCACGTGCTGGCGCAGCCCGAGGCCATCAGCACCATCGCCCAGAGCCTGCGCACGGAGAACAGCAAGACAAAGGTGGCTGTGCTGGAGATCCTGGGCGCCGTGTGCCTTGTGCCCGGCGGCCACAAGAAGGTGCTGCAGGCCATGCTACACTACCAGGTGTATGCTGCAGAGCGAACACGCTTTCAGGTGAGGGGCCAGGCGGAGGGTGGGTGGCAGCAGAGCAGGTCAGGAGTGTCGCATACTGGAAGTGAGGGCCTGAGGATTCTTTGTAGCTAAATCTGGGGGAGTGGGTGAGAATGTGGGCTGCGTGCCTGTTCCTGGAACGTCACAGGCAGAGAGTGCTGGGACCCGGAGAGCTTACATAAAAACACGTGCGGTGCCTTACGAGTTACGGATTTGGGTGGAAAATGAACTTGTCCTCCTCACTAGACCACACGCATGTTCCAGAGGCCGGAATATTGGCCTGCTTTATTTCTGTGGCTCTACGTCTCTGAGCTCAGGCCTGGCTCACGATAGAGGCTCAGTCAAGAATTGTTGAATTAAGTTCAATTCCTGGGGTCAAGATTTTAGGTCTCGTGCCTGGGCCAGTGCCTAATGTGGGGACACTGGGACCAGCCCTTGGAGCTCAGGCCATGCTATTCCCTTTTCTTTTCCCTTATGGGATGGAAAATAAGTATAAAGTGTCTTAGCACAGTGCCTGGCACCCTTGATCCCTTGACATTACACACTCTGTGGTTTAGCACCAGTATAGGCTATTTGTAATCACACATTTTTGAGCACCTGCTCTGTGCTGAAAGTGGCTTCTGACTCTTTGCTGAAGATGCAAAAGGGATAAAAAGCAGCGTCTGTGCTGTCAAGGAGCTGGGCAGGGAGTACGCCCTATCTGTAAACCAAGCCCCGAGGGCTGAGTGGAGTAAGGTAGTACTGAGACGGAAGTGTGCAAAGGCAAAGGATGCCTCTAGGCAGAGGTGAGGTTTGGTGAAGTCCAAGATACGTTGGATAGACAAGATTGAGCAGAGAGAAGTATGGGTCATTCTAGGCAGTTGGAACAGCAGGAGCAAAGGCTCAGAGGCTGCACTTGTAGGATACTGAGACCTCCCCTCCTGCTCTGTCCTGTCTTTCCATCCAGACTCTGTTGAACGAGCTAGACCGCAGTTTGGGCCGGTACCGGGATGAAGTGAACCTGAAAACGGCCATCATGTCCTTCATCAATGCTGTCCTCAATGCTGGAGCTGGAGAGGTGAGGCACCTTCTCCTTGCCATTGCAGTTGCCTGACATTCTGGGCCCAAGTAAGAGTGTGTGAGTGTGCGTGCTTCCTGGGGAAGTAGCAGAGGGAAGGGGCCGAGGCACCTGGTTGGTGTGGCTGCCACTACTCTTGTCCTTAGATGGCCTTTGTAACCTCTTGCCTTCTTCACTTGGGGCCAACAAAGAAATGCATGTCATGAACCTTGGTGTCACATTAGCCAAACCTGGACTGCATGTAACCCACCGTCTGTCATATCTGGGGCCTTTCAAAGTTGTGGTGAGGCCTAATTCTGGCTTGGCTTCTCCACACTATGGTTTCTGATTTTATCTAAACCCGGGAGGGCTCCTGGGGAGTTCCCGCACAGGTAGTATCATGCATTGTGAGTGTCCTGGACAGCCCCCAAGCAAGGCTGGCTAAAGACGGCTCAGGCTGCTGGTGGGTTATGGGTGGGAGGAGGGCAGGTTGGGGTCCCTCTTTCTAGAGCCTTGTTTCTGAGCTACTTCTGGTTGGCTGGTCCTGCTCCTCTGGCCTCTTCTGTTAGAGGGTGTGGCTTCTGCTTTCCCTTCTTTGGAAGTCAGGATGAGATTCTCAGACTATAAAAATGGCAACATTAGAAGAACTTGAAGAGCAGGTGAACTTCCCAAATTCTAAGGCAATCAGTTGCCCTGGGCAAGTTCAATTCGAAGGACAAAAGGGGACAAAGGGGCAATTTGATGATCTCTACTTTTCCGTCTTTCTGCCGACATATTTTTTTTGCAGCCAGTCCTGATGATCTGGGTTAGGCGAGGTGGGTTGGGGAAAGGATCTGCCCCTAATGTGCTGACATCACCTTTGTCAGTGCCAGCTATTTGTGGCTGGCAGCTGTTCTTATTACTTGGTAACCATACCTCATTAGGTCATTTTCATGGATATCATGTCTTTGGGTAAAGTCATGTTATGCCTATTTTACAAATGATGAAAACTAAAGTTTTCCCAAGGTCACAAGACTAGTAAGTGGCAGAGCAGGGATTTGAACCAAGATCTGTCTGATTCCAAGACTCCATGTCTCTCTAAAATATTGCTCTTCGATGTCAAAAACTAAGAGATAACTGGCAAGGGGCTTGAGGGAAGTGAGGAAGGTGACCTAAAAGAGAAATAGTAAGGTCAAGGATGTCTCCCCTCCACCCCACCCATTCTTTCTTGGAACTCGGGGACCCGAAGCATCTCCAGGTGAGTTGCTGCAAGAGATGTGGTGGGACCGTGGCTGGGGTGGTGATGAGGGGTCCACTGGGGACTGTTGTGGAAATTGAGACCAGCCGATGAGTCTGGTCCTCCCTTGGTGACCCCCAGGATAATCTGGAGTTCCGCCTACATCTACGGTATGAGTTCCTGATGCTGGGGATACAGCCTGTGATCGACAAGCTCCGGCAGCATGAGAATGCCATCCTGGACAAGTAAGGCCCAACTGCCCATCCCCACCACAGCCCTGTGGGGACAGTGCCTCGGCTGGGGATGGTCAGGACCTTTGCGAAGTCTGCCCTTCCCAGCAGAGACCACCGGCCAACCCAGCATAGATTCAGAATCAGCTCTGTGTGGGCAGGTGTGCCTACCTGTCCTCTTTGCTGAGCTGCTTGTCTCATCTCTGATGTTACAGACAGGTGAACCCAGCAGTCCTCCACCATAGCTGTGCTGCCCTCCTGGGGGGCATTTGGAAATATGTGGGGGTGTTCTTTGGTTTTCAAACTGGTTTGTGGGGGCCAACACTGATATTGCTTGTTGGGTGCCAGGAATGCTAAATGTCCTGCGATACCTTCCTGCTTAATAAAGAAACACCCCACCCAAAATGCATGCTATAAAGCCCTGTTATCAAAGGACACAATTAAACTCCTGTGTGATACCAGGAGGGAGGGAGGCCCCTCCATTCTGTCCCAATGGTACAGACTGTTTTATTATGCCAGATTTTAGGGGACAGAGGATGGTTCCTTTAGAGGTGGAGTGGTTGAGCGTGTGAACGGGGGTAGAAATCAAGGAGAGACTGGTTTGAGGGCTGACTCGGGGGCGGTATGAGAACACTGGGGAAGATAGCTGTAGGGCAGTGCTCCTCGACTGAGGGTGATTTTATCCCCCAGGAGTCATTGGGCAATGGCCGGAGACATTTTTGATTGTCACACTGGGAGTGCTATTGGCATTTAGTGGGTTGAGGCCAAAGATGCTGCTAAACATCCTACAATTTACAGATCAGACTCCCGTAACCAAGGCTAATCCAGCCCAAAATGTCAACAGTGCCAAAATTGAGAAACCCGGTCTAAGGGGAAGGGACCCTGGGTTGGGCTCCCTGAGGAGGGTCGTGGATGTTATAAAGCAGGGGAGAGTGTTGTCCTGCAGACAGGGGCTTCTTTCTGGCTTTTCCTTGGCCTCACCTGATAAAGCTTCCAGATTTAGCTGGTGGGGGATTGAAGGGGTTGTGACCCTCAATCCGGGATGTTCTGGCTGTAATGTCTACTCTCCCTATCCCCCATTCTATCTAGGCATTTAGACTTCTTCGAGATGGTCCGGAATGAGGATGACCTGGAGCTAGCCAGGAGGTTTGACATGGTGAGGAGCCCTTGGGCAGCAGCGGTTGTGGCAGGGCTCCAGGGGCCCCACAGCTACTTCTCTAGACGCTGTGCTGTGGTGGGGCCGGTGTGGGCTGTGTTGCCTGGTGGCACCCTCACGCCAGGTCCTGCGTGTTACTCAGAGTTCACTGGGGAAACATACGCAGTAGGCTGGCTAGCTAGCTAGCTAGAGAGACAGACAGATGGATGAGAGGGCTCTTATGAGGGGAATTGGCTCCCATGATTACGAAGGTGGAGAAGCCCCAGGACAGGCCATTTGCAAGCTGGAGATCCAGGGGAGCCTGTGGTGTGACTCTCAGTCCAAAGCTGAAGGCCTGAGAACCCGAGGGGCCACTGGTGCAAGTTCGGAGTCCAAGGTTTGGAGAACCTGGAGTTCTGCTATCCAAAGGCAGGAGAAGAAGAGTGTCCCAGCTCCAGGACAGAAAGAGAGAGAGGGAGAGAGAGAGAGAATTCTCCTTTCCTTGTGCTTGTTATTCTATCTGATCCCTGATTGGATTAGATGGTGCCTGCTCACATTGGGTCACTGGGTGAGGGCATATTCAAAGGCCAATCTCTTTTAGAAACATCCATACAAACACACCTGGAGATAATGCTTTACGAGCTATCTGGGTATCCCTTAATCCAGCCAAGTTGACACCTAAAATTAACTACTCCATTCTGCTTCTAGAGCCCTGGCAGTATGCTGCCCCGGTGGGCCTCCCCTGGTAGGGTGTCTGTACCAGAGGAGACTGAAACCCCCAAATAGAGAGAAAGTTCTTGCATGTGATTAGTCTCAGACACCTCTCCTCAGCTGACTTTCCTCCTGCCTTCCAGCAATTTCCCGAGTCACCTCTCCCTATCCCTAACCGGATCATGCTTAACAAACAAAATTGTGTTTTTATTTTAGCCTTAGCAACTCTGAAAACACACAACTCTGCTACTTAAATATTGTATTCTAAAATCCCTATCCAAATAGAAACCCACTTTTGGGTGGTGTTTTATAGTCACCTAGTGATATTCTGTTATATTTTCACAAAAGCCCTGGATTTATAGGTAAAGAAACTGCGTTTAGAGAGGATAAGCAGCTTACCTATTGTCACCCAACTAGAGAGTAGATCTGGGATTTGAACCAGGTGCTGGACCTATGCCACCTGCCACCTGCTACCTTGAATCACCTATGCCCCTGCTTCGTTTCCTTCGTTTGGATTGGCAGTTCTCAACCAGGGACGATTTTGCTCTCCTCTCCCCTGGGAACAAATGTCTGGATACATTTTAGGTTGTCACAACTGGTATGAAGGGCGTCACTGGCATCCAATAGGGCCAGGGGTGTGGCTAAACACTGTGCAGTGTACAGGACAGCCTGGGCCAGGGGCAAGGGGAGAAAATCTCTCCTGAGAGATGGGGCTCAGCGGATGGAAACGGGGTCTTGTCTGCCCTACTCAATTTCTCTGCTGCCTCCGCATTCTCCATTCACTGTGCCCTCCTCGCCTCCCAGGTCCACATCGACACTAAGAGTGCTTCCCAGATGTTCGAGCTGATCCACAAGAAGCTGAAGCATACTGAGGCCTACCCCTGCCTGCTCTCTGTCCTGCACCACTGCCTGCAGATGCCCTGTGAGTTCCCTGTACTTGCCGCTCCCCTCCACTGGGCCTGTGCCCTGGCTCTGGGCAGGCTGACATGAGGCTTCAGTACCTTCCCAGGGCAGGGGGCCTGACCACGTACGTCTCCCTCTGGCCCTCGGGAGACCAGACCTGATGACTAAGGCCCCAGCTCTTCCCTCCCTCCTTGGAGCCAGGACTTCCACTGTTGCCTGGAGAAGGGCTGGGTGCTTGCCTCTGTGCAACTCCAACATCCCCGTCCAGCGAGCAGTAGCTTGATCATTGCAAAATCAAACAGCTTTGGCTGTCAACTCATGACAAAGCAGTGATCAGTCCTCTTAGGGAGTGCCAAAATGAAGTTTTGTCCTTGGGGGAGTAGCACAGATGTGCAATGAGCATTCCTGGGTTTGTTTTTTTTTTTCAGGTTTTATCTACTCCTCCATCTAGTCCTTGCTGGCTTCCACCCTAACACCCCTGCCCCTGCCTCTCCCTACAATTACCAAATGTCAGCATCTATAAGAGCAGATGGCTAAGTTCTTAAGATCCAGGTGTGCACAGTGATTGAATAAACTATATGTACTTGCTAATAGCCACCCCAGAATGCAATTTGAAATGACCTTTAACTCATTTGGAACTTAAGCTCTTCACAAAAGAGAGTATCTTAAAAACTAGTGTGGTCTACCATCGTGGTCAACCTAGCTAAGCTCTCCTCAGCGGTGGTGATGGTGCTGCAATCGTGGTGATGGTGATGACAACCGTAATTTATTGTGTGCCAGCTCTGGGCCAGGCACGATGTGAGGCCCGTCAGCACGTCATCTCTAAACCGCTGAAAGACCTACAGAGCGTACATTATGATCTCCAGTTTACAGTGAACGAATCTGAGACCAAGGAGTTCTTGACATACAGAAGGGATTTTTGTTTCTTTGGGGTCAAGGGTTTAGATTAAACATGTTCTACCTTACACTGTTTTCTTGTGGGGAACGTGAATGGACAACTATGCCACTTTGCAATGCCCATGTTGGTGGAGTGGTAGAGAAGGTAGACGCAGTGACCTGGCTGGGGAAGCTGTCAGTTCTCCAGAACTCAGCCCAAAAGGTCTTGGTGGAAGACGTGGAAGTCCCTGGGAAACCTGCCTTCTTTGGCTCCCAGGGCTTCCTGTGTTTGACGTTCCACGGACAAAGTGAATGGGTCCCTCTGTTCTGCCCCCAAATCGGATTTTGCAGACCTGATCTTCTACCTGTAGGCGCTGTGGTTTGACTTCGATGTCAGGATTGTACTCGTTGGCTTTCTAGGGTGGTCAGTAAGACAAAGTGCTTGGGATCACAGACCAAGGATGGAGAGCTTGTGGCTGTCACATAAAAAGGAAGTCCATGTCCAGCCAGACTATCATTAGAGGCGATGTGAGGGGCTGAGATCACACACAACACACAATGTCTTTGCCTTCATAGTTGAAGGTCACCTCCACAAGAAATCTTCTCGGGTTCCATTAAGCATTTCTTTCACTCATTTTTACTGTCTCTCAGTGCACACCTGTAATCAGCTTCCATTCATCTTTCTCTGTATGGCAATAGTATAGATAATCCTAAAATCTTTTTTAAAAAATTTCCCTGAAGACTTCATTATTCATCATGTAATATTTTGAAGCAGGTGCTTTTTATAGATAATGTAAAAAGTAACTTGCATTCTCAGGGCACAGTATGCCCTGAGGGAAGGGCATACAGGGAAGAAAAGCACCAGAAAGCATTTCGGGGAGTAGAGAAATATACCAGGGGGCGGGGGGAAGTTTGACACGTTCATAGAAGGTCAGTTGCAGATAATCAAGACATGACTGGTTTAGAGAGTTGCCATTGTCAGCAGTGGCATTGCCTCTTCCACCAGACGGGGAGCTCACTACGGGTGGGGAAGGGCCATGCCTCTCCAGCCAGAGCCTAGGCAGTAACTCCAGGGCAGGGCCCCTGGGAACTGCAGGGCTCAGTAAGTTTGTGGTGCCTGTCATCCCCCAGACAAGCGGAATGGTGGCTACTTACAGCAGTGGCAGCTCCTGGACCGCATCCTCCAGCAGATTGTCCTCCAGGATGAGCGGGGTGTGGACCCTGACCTGGCTCCCTTGGAGAACTTCAACGTTAAGAACATCGTCAACATGTGAGCAGCGGTCAGCCTTTGCCCTGTCTTCCTCCACCTTCCCCGTCACTCTCCCACTCTGGTCAGCCAGGGAAACCTCGGCTCCCTCTCTCAACCCAGACATCCCCAGATGGGTCTCGAGCAGCCCTGGCCAATAGAACTCTGTGAGCCAATGGAAAGGCCTCATATTTGCACCGTCCAGTGTGGTGACCAAATGTGGCTATGGAGTATTGATGTGTAGCTAGTGTAACTGAGGAACGGAATTTTTAATTTTATTTCATTTAAATTAAATTTGAATAGCCACATGGCATGTGGCTAGTGATTACCATATTGGACAGCACAGATGTATAGGGTATATACTCAACTCTCAGTGATCCATGGCATGGGTTGGATAGAGGGGGAGTTTAAACACATTAGCATAGAGCAATTAAACACATTAACATAGAGCAGTGGTCAGCAAACCACAGTGCATACACTAATTCCATTCCTCCAGCTCGTTTTTGTATGGCCCACAAGCTAAGGATAGTTTTTGCATGTTAAACAAACAAATGCAAGATTATACGACAGAGACTGTACGTGGTATGTAAAACTTAAAATATTTACTCTGGCCTTTTGTAGATGCTTGGCGACCACTGACACAGAACGTGGCCATTTGATCACGAGTCTGCTGGATGAGGTTGTCAGAGCACGAGGCCTTCTGGCCTGTCATCTTTTACTGACCTGGATAGAGAGAAACTCAGAGAAACAAATTTAAATTTATACTAATTAAATAATAAGACTTCACACTAATATACTAATTTTTAACTTTAAACTTTTACTTAACTCTCAGTGTGAGTTTGACCCAATTGCCCTTAAGGAGGTGAGTCGGCTTGCAGTAATTCATTATATTACATTCCAAAGCCAAGAAGAAAATGATTTTTGAGCTATTCTGGCTACTGTTTTCATTTGCACAAAAAATCGGATGTGGATGTTGTAGAACTCCTAAGTGGTATGCTGGGCAAGCACAAGTCATAAAGTAATCGAAAGGCAGCTTTAGTTTTATTTTCTACTAACTTTTTGCATTATTTAGTGGGGAATCTTTTCCACCCCGGAGAATGAAAACTCCTCAGATCTAGCGGAGCATTTGTTCCTTCATGGGTAACAGAAGTCTTTAAATCACTTGAAGCTGCAACATAGCCTCAAATCTGCAACTAGGAGGAGTAGTCCCAGATGTGAATCAACATTCTAGACTTGGTTTAGCCTTAATCTTTCTCCTCCACTGGAGTGGGAAAGGGTGTGTGTGTGTGTGTGTGTGTGATATTTGCCTTCCTTTTTTCGTTGTTTCTCCTCTGACCCCTTTATCTCCTACCCTGCCTTTCCATTAGCTAACTAGTTTCTGACCCCCTCAGCCTGGGGACAGGAAGGAGAAGGGGAAAAGGTCTTACTTGATCAGATAATTTAGTAAACAGGCTTCCTGCTCTGGGCTTGGCACATGGGTAAAGACGTCAGTGTTCCTGGAATCTTCAAAAGTTCCTTGTTGGGTGCCTCTCGCTATAGAACCCAACTCACTGGCTATGCAGGATTTTTTTCCAGCTGGCTGGCTGGCTGCTTCCAGCCCTTCCATCAGCCCTGGTTCACTGGCAATGCAGCACGCAGAGACTCACAGAGCACATGCTCCCAATTTTCTCCCAGGTGCATCCCTTGGATAGGGCTTACGAGAGCTTCAGCCCAGTTCCTCCACAAGGCTTACATCTGGCCCACGGCAGGCCTCATGCAATCTCTTGGACCGACAAATTCTAGGAGTGCCTGCAGGTCCCAGCACAGCAGTGCTCTCCTGGTCAGTCCTTCCACACCCCCTGGATTTGCCTGGCCCTGAGTCAGACCCCAGTCCATGCTGACTTGCTCCCAACTTCAGGGAGCATGGGTCAAAACTCTTGGGGTGGGCCCAAAGAAACCCCTTCTCTGGATGGTGGTGAAGGAGATTACACAATGGCTATCTCCAGAGAAGTCTCTGCACCAAATACGCACCTCCCCACCCCACTTCATGCTCTGCCCCTGATTTATACCCTTGATATGGTTGAGAAGACCAAGGGTCCTGGATCTGACTCATCCATATTTTCAGATTTACAAAAGAAATGATTATTGCAATATCACTTTGGGATTTCACCTCTCTTATACCTTGGTGTCAAGGTCAAAGCTTAACTTTAACACCCTGTTGGGAGAGTTTGACATGAACAAGCGCTTCCTGTGTTTCACCCTCAATGCACTCATTCTGTATTTTGGGGAGGAGCAATTTCTCTTGTTCTTAGACATTGGACTTGGGAAGCCTGGACCATGGATAGGGCCAATATTTTGATTTCTCTCAAATGCAAAACCTATTTTTACAAAAGGGTACAAGTCATACAACTTAGGGAAACCTGTGACGTAGTCCTAGCTCTAACATTAATCAGTTCTCCCCCTTCTCTGGTCTCTGAGCCTCAGTACTTCAACGCTCTCACACAGCAGTTGGATTAAAAGGTATCTTAAGGTCCTTTCACATTTCCCGGCCCATGTGGACACATCACATGAACTGGGCAGGGATAGGGTCCCGGAGAGACGGCTGGAAAGTCAAAGTCCTGGCCTCTTTAACGAGGCTGGGGACAGATTGGAGACCAGGGTACCAACCTGGGAGTGGAGAGATGCCATGGGTTCTGGGAGCTGTAAGCCAACAGTCAACAACTACATCGCCCTCTCTCTACTCCCCAAGGCTCATCAATGAGAACGAAGTGAAACAGTGGCGTGACCAGGCAGAGAAGTTCCGGAAAGGTGAGGGGGACTGCCTGAGCCTGCTGCACGCTCCACACCCTTCCCCTGCCAGCCTAGGACCCCATCCTCTCCCAGGGTGGGAAGCACAGATACTCACTCTCTCCCCCATCTCCTCTTCTGTCCCCCCCATTCCAGAACACATGGAGCTCGTGAGCCGGCTGGAGAGGAAGGAGCGGGAATGTGAAACAAAGACGTTGGAGAAGGAAGAGATGATGCGGACACTGAACAAAATGAAGGACAAGCTGGCCCGGGAGTCCCAGGAGCTGCGCCAGGCTCGGGGACAAGTGGCAGAGCTGGTGGCCCAGCTCAGCGAACTCTCAGTATGTGCGCACCCTCTCCCTTTTATAGAGTTGAGCCAAGACCCTGGCTTCGGGACGGGGTGGGCAGAGCAGGTGTGGGGAGAGGCTGAGGACCCAGGATGAGGGAGAGGAGAGAGGTGGACCTCAGGCCAGGGCAGAAGGGACCCCCAGGCTGTATGGGAGGCATCTTTGTGTTAATTAGAAAATATAATTTCCCTGCCTCTGGGTGATGCTGTCCCAGGAAGCACACCTTGGAAAGCAGAGTGCAGGCGGGGTTTTGGGTCCCCTTCTCCCTCAGCTGGAGACCCTTGTGCAGTCAGTAGCCTATACAACTGTATGCGTCCATCCTGCTGTTGCATGGCGGTGACTATGACTCTGATTGGTGTGTATATGTGTGACCATATGTGTTCCTTGTCTATGGTTTTTTGTGTGTACATGTGTTCGATGTTTGAATGCGGAGAGAGAGAACGGGGCTCCGTGCATGTGGGAGGCGAGGGCAGGAATTGGGGTCTAGGGTAGAAAGAGAATAGAGTAAGGAAAGGATGGGTGGTGGGGGACCTGAACAGCATCAGCACTGATGGCTTTGTCCTTCTGATTTTTCTGTCTCCTCACAGACAGGCCCTGTATCTTCCCCGCCTCCCCCGGGGGGCCCCCTCACCTTGTCTTCCTCCATGACAACCAGTGACCTGCCTCCACCCCCACCTCCTCTGCCCTTTGCCTGCTGCCCCCCTCCCCCACCCCCACCCCTTCCTCCTGGGGGGGCCCCCACCCCCCCAGGTGCCCCACCTTGCTTCGGCATGGGCCCACCCCTCCCTCAGGACCCCTACCCCAGCAGTGATGTCTCACTCAGGAAAAAGCGTGTCCCCCAGCCTTCCCACCCGCTGAAGTCCTTCAACTGGGTCAAGCTGAATGAGGTGAGTGGCCAGGAAGGGCCAGCAGGTCCCCTCGCCTGTAGCAGGGGCCCCTCCACCAGGTCCTCCCTTCAGTGGGGAGTTGGGGCAGGCATAGGGGATGCAGCAGAGGGGTTTGCTGTGCCGGGCAGCTCACCGTCCATGGGGAAGATCATGTGCACTGGGAGACACACTTGGCATGTGGCAATGCTCACACTGACAACGTCATCTGCAAATGGAATTTGTGTGTGCTGAGGGTTAATGGAGTCACAGAGACAGACGGGGCAAGGGCTGGGCTAGAATTTCAAGGACAGGGTCAATTTGAGGAAAAGGGTCGAAAAATAGGCAAAGAGCTTGGGGCAAGTTCTAATTCCTGGTAAAGATCAGGGCAATGTGTACAAAGGACTGAAGAGTCTGATGTCAAGATGTCCCAGTTTGACGTCCTCCGTGGGGGACGCCGCACACATTGCCACATGTGCAGACCCGCAGTGAGAGGCCTCCATGAGCATGTCCACCAGCAATCGCCAATCCCAGGCCCACGCGTGGGAGTCGGTTCCTCTGTGGGACTCGCATAGGCATAGAGTAGAGATACCCTGAGTTGCATGAGACCCCTGGAAATGGGAGGCCAGTTCCGGCCTGGGCCGGGCCCTGCCTCTGCTTCTGTACAATGGCGAGTCCTATTAAGAGGACCAGGGACTTTGTCCTTGAGGTGAACGCTCGCGTGGTGACTGGTTCCAGTCAGCCTGACTCATACCCACACTTCAGCAACAGCCATGCAGACACCACTTTGGAGCTGGGACTAACGGGTCCACGCTGACCTTGTTATATGGGCCTGTTGGACCGCTGGGAGTTCATAACTGCACCGTTCTGTTCAAGCCTCAGTGAGCTCAAAGTGGGAGGAGATGCGAGATTGCTAAACAGGTGCTTAGCGGCCTGAGGTCTGCTTTATGCAAAGCTTTGTGCTGGGTTATGGTGGCTAATGATAAAAGTAAGAGATGACGTTGCCCCGTCAGAGCTTAACATCTGGCAAACTGGGACGTGTGTTCCAGGAAACACACAGAGACCCTGGGGAGGGGTTGAGGGACACATTCTTACCTCTAACCGTACGAGGTTTGGCTTTAACCAGCTGGCTGTGTAACTGGTGTAAGTCACTTGTCTGTAACTCAGTTTGCTCATCTGTGAGACGATTTCTAAGAGATTCTGCCTCCCTCCGGTTTTATAATCCATGGTGGAAAAATGAAACATGAATACAGCCCATTCAGAGTTTCCTGGGCCTCTGATAACGTCTCCAATCTGAGTGATTAGAGTCTGAGAGCCACCCGTTAGCAGTATTTTGAAGCAAGACTGTTGAAGTTTGTGACGACTGCACTGCCCAGCTGTGCCCTGCGGCCACCTCTCCGGGCCACAAGGCGAGCCAGAAAGGCCAATGCATGTCGCAGGCAGACGGCTCTGCACAGCCCTTGTTCACGATCAGAAAGGATGTGTTTTTTCTTGTGGTAAAAAGAGAAGTAATATTCTTTGCTTCCTATACTCACAATTTATAAGGTTTTAAAAATGTAATGGGAAGTTATCAGGTGTGTCAATTGTTAAGGAAGACAGGCAAGGCAACTAGTATTTTTGCAACCTTTTCATCGTGTGCAGCTTTGTGCTTGGGGTTTTCTCCAAGGTCCAGCCACAGTGAAGTCCATACAAATTCCCCAGGGGCCCAGAGCAGGCCAGAGTTTGATTCCTAGACTGGAAAGTGTAGGTTTTTTTGGACATTCGTAGAAGTTGCAGACATTTTCGGCAGGGGTAGGATGGAGGGGCACTGAATAATCTTCGAGAACCTGTTGCCCCAGCCCCAAGCTGTTAACTGTGTGATGGGCAGGTCATCGAATTGTTTGGGCTTCAGGTTTCTGCTCTGTAAAAACGGGGTGATGATAATCTCCGTCTCAAAGGATTGCTGAGAGGATTAATTGACTTAGTACCTATGAGGTACTTGGAACAGTGACCGACACACAGAAAGTCTTAATAGTAACAATATTAGATTAATTATTATTAGTAGCCCTACCATGTGTGCTTTAAGTGTATTGTCTCACTTAATCCTCATGTCAGCCCAGTGAGTCTCAGTTTACCCTTCTGTGACATGGGCAGAGCACAGTGCCCCTCCACTTGTACACTGTCCCACACAATGGCAGGGCTGGGAGCGTTCGGCCCCTCGGGCCTGCCTGACCCCAAAGGCCATGTTCTATGAGGGAAGCAGAATGAAATGTGCTTTTGCGAAAGATTTCCCTGGCATGTAAAGGACATCTCTAGTGGGGGCAGAAGCCCCAGGAGTCTAGACTGGAGATGATGGGCCCTTGGCCAGAGGAGTGGAAAATTAAATTTGAGCATTATTACTCAAGGTGGGCATATCAGGGCAACGTGGTGAGAGCTGGGATGTGGGGAATATTAGGAACAGACCCACCTCTCTCTGCCTCCAGACCTCAGTTATGCCTCCACAAAGAGCCTCAGGTCCTTCTGGCAAATGTGGGGAGCGTGGTGGGGCGTGTGTGGGAAGAAGCGAGAGAGTGGGGTGTGTAGCCTGCTGTCCCCGGGAAGTGCTTCCCAGTGCCGAACATCCAGCTCTCCCGCTCCAGCCCTTTCCTTCTCGCCCTGACCTCACCACGAAGAAGGAAGGATGGGAAGCTTTATCCCTGTGGGCTTCTCTTCCCCCCCGCCTCCACCCCAGGCCTGGACTTAGCGGGAGGTCTCCCTGCAGAGTGGACTCTGGGTGCCGCAGCACCCTACGCTGCCCCGGCGAGCCCCCTCCCTGCCTTCCCTGATTCCATTCCCCTTCCCATCTCCTCTCTGCTGCCCACGCCCCCCTTTCCAGGAGCCTGACTCCTCTCCCAATGCCCTTCCCTACCCCACGCATGCTCCCGTGTGCATGCACATACACACACACACACACACACACACACACACACACACACACACACATTGGTTGTTTCTGCCATGAAAAGAATGTGTCTGTGTTGGGTTTGGCCAGTTGCCTGTCTCCCTTGCTGCTCTGAGCTTCCCAGCCCGGCATTCCACAAGAGGGTCCCTGGCCTTCAGAAGGCCACAGGAATGTCCCCACCCCCAGCTCTGGCCTAGCCTCCCCTTTACAGAGTTTAAGAAAATAAAAGTGAGTGAAAGGTATGTTTCTCTCTCCAAGTCTTGCTGGGGGGCAATGTAGGGAGGGGAGAGAGAGGCATAGAGGAGGTTCCCCAGCTGCCCTCTAGGTGCAGGAAGGTGAGGAGATTCTACTGGACAGGACAGCAGAGCTCTCAATTAGGTGAGGATTCCCAAGAGGTGAGGGGTGGAACACCTCTGCTGTCTGCTGTCTGTGCTCTAAGCCCAGCCTCCTGTCCTCTGAGCCATCAGCAAGGTGCTGCATCGTTGCTATGGCTTTTTCTTTTTTTGGCCTGGGCACCAGCTCCTCTCTAGACCCCAGTGCAGGGTCCTACAGAGAGAGAAGGTGACGCCTAGATTAAGAGACCTTGGAATGTAAAGCCCTGCAGCCATCCCAATCATAAAGGATGGAGACACCTTTCCTAGGTCAGACAAAGGGAAATTGTGGCAGTCTTGTTGGTCTGAGCAGAGTCACCACCAGTGCCAGGTGTCCCAACCTTTGGCATTTGTCTGCTTTCTGGGAACCTGGGAGAGTGGGAGGAAGACACTCGGGAAAGAAAATGACCACTTCACATACAGGAAATACAGTCTGTGCTGAGGCTTTGGGATCCCAGATACACACGGCCCCAGTCCCTCCAGTGATTGCAGCCAGTGATGGGAGCGTCTCCTGGGCACCCTACCCCGTAGGGAGAGTGGGCCTGCGTGGAGTTCCCTGAGAGCACAGCTGCTGTCTTTGCTTTTCTGGAAGGAATGTAGTGTACCCCCTTTCATACTGCCCACCCATCCCTCTAGTACTCCCAGTGATTTCTGGAACATGCTTGCATGTGGCGTCAAGCAACAGGGAAGGAGGAGAAGGAGGCTGGCTCTGGCCTCCTCCCTGGGGTAGAGTACTGAAGGGGGGTGGAGGTTGAGGGGAGCAATTGACCCCTTCTGAAGGTCTGAAACCCCAGTTGTTGTGGTATGTGCAGGTGCGGGACAGGTGGGGTTGGGGAGGCATTGGCATCTCTGTAATGAAGGAGTTGGGTCAACTGTGGGGTCATCTCCCTACCCTGAATCTTAGGAGCGTGTCCCTGGCACCGTATGGAATGAGATTGATGACATGCAGGTATTTCGGATTCTGGACCTAGAGGATTTTGAAAAAATGTTTTCAGCCTATCAGAGGCACCAGGTAAGACCTCTTGGGCCTTGACTTCCACTTTCCACACCCTTGAACCCAAACCTAAGCCCCTCCCTGCCTGCCTTCCTACCTTCCTTCCTTCCTTCCTTCCTCCCTCCCTCCTTCTCTCCCTCCCTCCCTGTCTTCCTTCTTTCCTTCCTGTCGTTCCTTACGTGCATACTGAATGATTTCATTCTTTATGAGGCGCACGTGCCTACTGTGACACAGATATGAATTAGAGGTGTCCAGTCCAGAAAGGGGAAACAGTCCACCGTATCAGGGTTTACAGTCACACATCAAGTATTGTAGCAGTGTTTTATCCATTTCTCACTTTCACCCTGGAGCACTGGAGGTGGGGGCACAAGGCCTGGCCACTGTCGAATCCTGCTCTCTTTGGCCCAGGATTTAGGGACTTGACCTAGAAGGCATTATCACCATTCAAACCGCTTTCTCCACCATATTTTGTCCCCCAACACCCTGTGAGCAGAGGATGTTAACACTGTAAGGAAGGTGGAGGGTGCTGTGTCACCTCAGGGGCAGAGGCTGGGGCTGAGTCTGGGAAGGCCCCCAGAGGCCCTGGGCATTGCTCTACAGGCTCTCCATGCAGGTGGCTGGCAGGCAAGACTGGTCCTCCAGCCCTGGAGGAAGTGGGGAGGGGGTGAGTTGGTGGCAGAACTCAGGGCATTCCTGGGGCGGGGGCCTCAAACTATGCTGAGTTCCTGCGGGGACTGCCAAACATGCTGATTCTCAGAACTTATCCTCAAATGAATGTGATTCCAGAGATAAGTTGGGGCCCAGGAATCTACATCGTAATTAGCACCACTGGGGGCCTTCCCCTTAAGTCCTCTTTGGGAATCACTAGCCTGGAGGCCTTAGGTGCTTGCTGTCTCTCTGGCCTGCCTCCAAGGGCCTGTTTCCACTCTGCGTTGTGCTACCATCTTCCTTGTTTCCTCTACTTAGCCTAGGGGTCCAGTCTTGAGGACTTCCCCAGGTGCCAGTGAGTGGGGTCTGTGCCCTCCTGGGTCCTGCCACCCCACTGCTCTGGAGAGGGTGCCCTGGCCCGCTCTCGGCCAAATCCAGGCCTGTGGAAGACTGAAGACACACGCATCTGCTCCTAGGGCACTGGCCAAAGGGATGGGGGTGGGGGTCAGGCTCTGGATCTGTCTTGGGGTTCTGGGAAAAAACAGATGATTATTTTTTAACTTAAATATGGGGGCCCACTGCATCTGGCTCTGTGCCCTAATTCCAGGAGACACATTTAGCCATATGCCCATGTCAGGCTGGCCCGATAGCCAAGGCTGCTGGAGCTGGTAGAGCTCTTTGGAGCACTGGCGCCTGGGAATCGGGGCTCCCGCGTGGTGCCGAGGACAGAGAAGTGTGTGCAGGAGGTGGCCCAGGCATGGCAGTCACATGCCTTCTCCTAGTCTGAGAGTCTTCTCCAGTCTCCAGAGCCTCGAGGTGGGCTGGGGTGGGACTTTCAGGAGAGAGGGGTGTGGGGCTAAGGACAAACTGGGTCTGGGGCCTCCCAGCCAGGGAGAAGGGGTGAGACTGAAAGACTCCGTGTTCTGTGCCCCTCGCCTCTCAAGCCCACTCAGTCCAGCCTCTGCCTCCTGCCAATCAGCAGGTCACCCCATCTCTGGGACTGAATTCACAGCAGCAGAGCTGCAGGGATCTCAGAGGCTGTGCTGTCCGTGCTGCCCCCTCTCCCTGTGTTGGAGCCCTGGGCAGTTGGTCATGGGGCAGGGGGGGTCCCGGGAGCCATGATCTTCCCTCCATGCCCCATGCAGGTTCTGAGTTGGTGGCTCCAGCTCCATCAGTGTCAGGAAGGGAAAGTACAGGTGCAGGCGGTGCCTCCTTAGCTCCCCTTGGATATCTAAAGACCAGAGGGGCAAGGGGCAAGGCACACAATCAAGGACACTTGCTTTCTCCTGCCTGAATGAACGCAACTCTCTACAGCTTCCAGCTCAAGTTTGTTTGTATCTCCTCCCCTATTTAGAAAGATGGGCTCATCTCAGGGAGGAGGAATACCTCCACCCTCTCAGCAGGCTCTCAGCAGAGGAGAGGGAAGAACAGGCAGTCTAGGCCTTGGGGGTGGGGAGATTCAGGGGCCTGGTCTGCCCAGACTGGGGAGCAGTGGTCCCACTGGGCAGGTGGCAGGAGCTGCCTGATTTCTGCTTTGTTTGGCTGCTCTGAGTGCATGTCTGCTAGAAACAGCTCCTGCCCAGTGTCACTGCCAGGTCCCTGTCTCCAACCATGGGGGTCTCATTGGGACAAAGTGGACAGAGTAGATGATGAGGGATCCCTGTATCTGTCCTGCTGTTTCTGGGTCCCTGAACCTCTTGGCTAATGTTGTGCATGTTTAATTCTCTGTTGGCTGTGGCTGCTACCTGCCTAGGAGCTGATAACTAATCCTTCTCTGCAGGTGAGTCACTCTTGGGCTCTGAACACTTCAACTTTTAACCACTATCCTGGGCTGCTACCCCATACTGGGCCCAAAAATGAGGGCTATCTATTCCACCCACTACCTTACTGCCTGTCCATACAGGGTGGCATGAGGGAGGGTCCCCAAAGAGAAAGAAGAAACGTAGCAGTGGGAGGTAATTCAAACAGAACCCTGGCAGCAGTGGAGGTGAATATCTACTGGAGTAAGGAGAAGGCTTCTAGGTCTATTGTGTTACCCACTGGGCCTGAGGCAAGCCATTCCTATACGACTACACAGGCGGGCACTGCACAATTCCAGGGGCAAAATTCACAGAGATAATGACGTGAGTGGGAGCCCCTGGAATTGTGCAACATGGAGCATCTCCTTGGATGGACCTTCCAGAGCAGGAATAGTACACCAGACGGCCTCCTGTCTACTCACCAAGCGCCCAAGAGAACAAAGGGGGTGGAATCTTTGATTTCTTGAGAATCTGCCTGCTAGAACCTTAGAAGAGAGAATTCTGCATGGACTTCTGCCTCAGTTTCCACTCCTCTGAACTTGTGGATGCCCTCTACCCTGGGCATATTAGGCTGTGCCTGCTTGGAACCAACTTCTCATCATAAACCTGGGGAGGGTTTCTGGGTGGGATGGTGAGAGTGAGGGTTGATTCTGTAGCGGATATGGTAGGCCACGTCCCATTGCCCAAAGCCATAGGGAACAGGCACACCCTCCCCATTGGAGCAGCCCCTTCCCTGGTTTGCCCAATGAGGACAATCTCTACAAAGGGGGCTGGTCACTGTCCCCCCACCCCATTTTAGCCTGCGGTAAAGTCCCAGATATTAGAGTCAGTTATTAGTACCCTCCTGTCGCTCTTGTCTTTTTCTTTCCCTACTTTCTTCCCCACACACCAGGAATTTGCCCAGGCTGGTAGGGGGTGGCTCCTGAGGGGTGGGCAAGAAGAGGGTTGGTGACAACTCACACCTCAACCTTCCCCTTCACTTGTCGGTTGCAGAAAGAGTTGGGCTCCACTGAGGACATCTACCTGGCCTCCCGCAAGGTCAAGGAGCTGTCGGTCATTGACGGCAGGAGGGCCCAGAACTGCATCATCCTTCTCTCCAAGTACGTGCTGGCCCTGCCTCTGCGGCATCTGCCCCGGGATAGGTTCCTGGTGGGGAGGCAAGGGGCCCGCCAAGGAGCAGGGGCCGAGATGGGGCTAGAGCCAAAGAAGGTGGTTGGATTGAATGCCTGGGGGAGAGAGGTGGCAGAGGAATGTGCTGATGGCAGTCTCTGGCCTCTGCCTCTCTGCTCTCCCCTGGGATGGGGGGCTGGCTCTGATCTAGAACCTTCTCCTGGGAATAGCAGTGTGGGGCTCTGCAGACAGGAAACTGCCCAGTCATGAAGCCCCTGACCAGCCTGGTCAGCATCTGGCAGTTGAGTTGCTCTAAGCCCACAGAGGGCCCCGCTTGGCTTAGGCCACGGAGCAGCATGATCTCAGCCACTAAGCATTTCCCGCGGCTGCAGAACAAACAGGGCAGTATCTGCGCTAACAGCACAGCTTCTGTGCAGGGCCTCCCGCCTGAGCCAGGGTCAGAGGGCACTGCCTCCCATACTATTCTTAGTGCTGCCCCAGCCGCCTCAGGGACATCCACCCTCCTTTTCTCCCACACGGCCCAGGCCTCAGTTTCTCCCATTTGTTGGTGGGGGAGAGTTCTGAATCCCCAGGGTTCCTCACGGCCATGCATGTGGAGGGGATGGGAAGGACCATGGAGTTTGGGGGATGGCTCTTCCTCTCCTGGGCTGCGCGAGGCTGCCTGGGACAGCCATATGGGAGCTGAGGTGCTGTCAGATGCTGCCAGTGAGCCTGTCCGCTGAGAAGGAAGCAGCAGGAAATTGCCCCCAGTGGTTTGTGGATAGTCTGTCTGCCATGGAGATGCTGGACATTTTTTAGGAATAAAGAGGAGGATCAGAAACCCTTTGCTTGTCCCTTCCATCTACACTGACGACATCCCTTTTACTCCCAAATGTCCCTATCAGCTCTGACATAGTCTCAAGCAAGAGACCAGAGACTCAAGCCTCTGTTTAGAGACTGAAATGCCCATTATCGAGTTTATGGAGTGAATCCTGCTAGTCTGATGAGGCTCTACGGAGGAGGCGAGGAGGCAGTGCTATGGAAAGCACTCGCAGTTCACGTTAGGGAGAGCGGGAAGGCTGAGGCTGAGTCTTTTGGAGAAGAAGGTGTGGGCACTGTCCTGGGCTTAGGGGCCAGGCCAGGCTGCTCAAGCAGTAGGGTTTTGCCTTAGGTTGAAGCTTTCCAACGAGGAGATCCGGCAGGCTATCTTGAAGATGGACGAGCAGGAGGACCTCGCCAAGGACATGCTGGAGCAGGTGAGGACCCTGGTGGAAAGGGAAGGGGAGCTGAACCTAAGGGCAGCCATGCCCCTTCCTTAATGCCCCCAGAGACGCCAAGCCTCTTGGGTCAAGGAGAAATCGGGCTGGAGGAGTTTATGGAAACTTTCCTGGACCAACGTTTCCAGGGGAGGGCTGGAAAAGGCTGCTCCAGGGGTCCCAAGCAAAGTCAGGGTGACCAACTGTCATATCTTCCCCAAATCTCTTCCACCTCAATTTGTTGTGTCCTTTAAGAGAAACCTAGAAAACAAAAGCACCATCAGTTGGACTTCATTAAAATTACGAACTTCTGTTCCTCGAAAAGCACTATTACTGAGTGAGAAGACAAGCCACACCTAGAAGTTGATAACTGCTGTCGATATTATCTAACAAAGATCTCGTATTCCAAACAAAGAACTCTACATATCAATGAGAAAATGAGGAAGAAATCAACTTAAAAATGAGCAAGAGACTTGAACAGACACTTCATGAAAGAGGATTTCCAAATAGCCAATAAGCATATGCAAAGGTGTTCAGTGCTTTTAGTCATCAGAGACACACAGTTAACCCCAGCGAGGTGGCACCACGCACTCACCAGAGTAGCTAAAAGTAGAAAGACTGACAATGCCATGTGCTGGCAAGGATGAGAAGCAATTGAAATTCTCATCCAGCACAATCATTTTGGACAACTATTTGGCAGTGCATATGAAGGCTAAAAAACGCCTACCCTATTGACCAGTAATCCCTCTCGTAGGTATACCTTCAAGAGAAACCTGTGGCAGTACTGAGTTAAAGACATACGTACAGTTGATCTTTGAACAATGTGGGGGTTAGGGTTGCCAACTCCTCATAGTCAAAAATCCCCATGTAACTTTTGACTCCCCAGTAACTTAGTTACTAATTACCTACTGTTGACCAGAAGTCTTAATCAACATAAACAGCTAACACGTTTTGTACGTGATATGCGTTATATGCTGTATTCTTACAATAAAGTAAGCTAAAGAAAAGAAAATGTTATTAAGAAAACCATAAGGAAGGGGAAATATATTTAGTCTTCCTTAAGTGGAAGTGGATCATCATGAAGGTCTTCCTCCTCGTCATCTTCACATCGAGTGGGCTGAGGAGGAGGAGGAAGAGGAGGAGGAAGAGGAGGGGTTGGTGTTGCTGTCTCAGGGGTGGCAGAAGCAGAAGAAAATCTGTGTATAAGTGGACCCACTCAGTTCCACCCTGTGCTGTTCAAAGGTCAGCTCTATTTATAGCAACTTTATTTATAAAATCCCCAAACTGTGCACAACCCACCTGTCCATCAATAAGAAAGTGAATAAATAGACTGTGTATATTCATACAGTAGAATGCTAGTCAGCAATGAATAAAGACAAACTACTAATACGCGCAACATGGGCCAACCTCAGACAGCATGTTGGGGGACCAACATGACACAAGAGAACATGCAGCGTGAGTTCAAGAATAGGCAAAGGTAACCTAAGGTCATCGAATCCAGTTGAGAGTCTGTATTCAGTGGAGGAGCTTATTGAGGTGATGCAAGATAACTTTCTGCGGGGATGAAAACGTTCTGTGGTTCAGTGGGTGGAGAGTTTTGACAAAACTCACTGAAGTGCACATTTAAAATAGGTGAATTTTATTTTATGTAAATTCTACCTCAGTAAAGTTGGTTTTAAGAGGTAACCATTGAGCTACACAGTTAAGAATAGTGTACTTTACTGTACGAAAGTTATATCTCAATTTTAACACCTTGACTGCCACACTAGAAAAAAAAATTTTTTTCCCTGGGGCCATGGTGTTTTATTACAAAAATAGAATAAAAACTTCAAAAACAAAATGATCCTTTCCAATTTAATGAAAAATTTATTATTTTTTATTGCTTTCTGTGTATGAGTTATATGCAGTTAAATTGTACATATTAATTGTAACAATAAGAATATCAGCAAGTAAGATTTTCATGAAGCAACTGCAGAGTTTTGCCCAGGGGCCCACCCGTCACGTAACATGTGTGCTACAGCGTGGCAGCGTTAGTTGCCTGAGCATCACGGGGCTCCCAAGGTAAAGAGATGTGTGAGTTACATATGCTTCATGAGGCCCCAGGCTCAAAACTACCATGAATTAAATACAACTCACATGGCAGTTAATGGGTTAAAAGTTGAAAATAAAAGTTTCGAGTTGGGTGCCCTCTTCAGGCAGATGAAACATAAATCCGTCCACAGCAGGGGCCCCTCTGTGTCAGGGCCCACTCCCATCCTGAGCAAAGTCAGTGTGTGGCTTCTTGCACCCTGCACCGTGTCTGCTGCACACCAGTTGCTTGTGTCACTTGTGCCTGCTCTTTGCAGCTCCTCAAGTTCGTCCCTGAGAAGAGTGACATTGACCTCCTCGAGGAGCACAAGCACGAGATCGAGCGGATGGCCCGTGCTGACCGCTTCCTCTATGAAATGAGCAGGTTGGGGCTGCGGGTGTGGCAGGGGAGTTGGGGTTGTGGCAGGTGGGGGGGTTCTGCCGAGGGGAAGGGGAGGGAGGTGGGCAGGCTCAAGAGGAGGCTGGGGTGCGCGTGCGAGTGGGGGTACCTCGTGACGTAGCTGGTCCCGTGCACAGGATCGACCACTACCAGCAGCGACTACAGGCCCTCTTCTTCAAGAAGAAGTTCCAGGAGCGGCTGGCTGAGGCCAAGCCCAAGGTGGAAGGTAGGGCTGAGGGCTCAGGGAGGCCTGGCGTGGGGAGATCTGGGAAAGGCAGGGTGGTGGGAGCCAGTGCACAGGGCCGGAGGAAATATCTTCGTTATTCTCAACTCCCCCAAAAAACCGAAGTCAAAGACAAAATTTAAACAGTGATTATTGTAAAGATACGCACATGTGCCACCCATGTGACATGTTCCCTGTGACTCAGCATTTAAACTGTCCAAGGTGGGGCATCTGTTGACATCTGCCCCAGATGGGACAGAGATGTTGAGAAGACAATGATAACAGCAGCTAGACCGGTACCTGGCACGAGTCAAGCTCTTCAATCTTTACCCTCTTGAGAGGTGCTAGATTCATAGACGACCTCTGGGCATGTTATTTTAAGTGTGAGCTATTCCGAAAGTAGGAAATTGCCCAAGGTGATCCCTGGAGGCATCTGATTTTCTGAGTCAGGGAACCCCTCCACCACGGGCCATTTCCAGATGAGAAATTTGTAATTCCATGAGAACCATGTGCCAAGCACTGGGTGGAGCAAGTTACATAGGTGGTCTTTGGTCTTTACGATCCCATGGTGGTTGCTATTACTGACCTCTGGCTCTCTCTTCTGTGTTAGTTGCCCGAGGCCATGTTACCCGTAGATGGTGCAGTCAGGATAGGAATGTAGATGCTGTTCTTCAGAACCAAGCCCTTCCCTCTAATCCTCCTGTACTGCCCAGTGGGCATCTCCCTGGGGCTGCCTGTAGGGATGGCAGGGGAAGGAGGAGCATGGAGCTTGGGGGAGAGGCCGGAGATCAGAGAGGTGGGAAGACGTGTGCACCCAGGAGGGGACTAGCAGGAGAGGCTGTGAGGCTTATCTGTGGTAAGGACGGGATCCACAGAGCAGAAGAGAACCTGTGTCCAAGACGCTGAGGGTGCTGGGCTGGGGGCAGAACAGAGCATGGGCCCCCCCTGCTGGACACCAGGGCAGTCAGCGCTCCCTGAGATGCTCCGTCTAGAGAGTGGCCCTTCATGGAATCCACTGAGCTCCTTCCGGGAGGACCCTGGGGGTAGGCCGGAGCACACAGAGCGAAAGGCAGACATTTTGTGTAATCAGACCCTGTTCCCCCTCATGCCACAGAAGGGCACGCACAGCCAGGGACCTGTAGGTGGTGATCATAGATAATCAGTCTGAAGAAGAAGGAAAGATTTCAGTAGTGATTACCTCTCCAAGGTCTGGTGGTATCTCCTGCCCCGGTGATAGGTGAACCCTTATCTTCATCGTGACTATTGCATCTGCTGCAGACAGCCTTTGGAGCATGCAGCACAAATAAGGGGTCCAGCTCAAGACTCGTATTCTCAGCTGTTTGTGTCTTGGGTCAGAGGAGCAAATGTGAGCAGTTGCCCTTTGGAGCATGGAACCACAGTAGCTCAGCCACTGGAAAGGTTTAATCTCAGACAGCTTCCTGTTCCCAGGAGTCCACTCCTAAGCTCTCCCTAAGAATTAATCAGTGGATGCTCAGGAAAGAGTCTTTCTGGACTTCAAGCTAAGCAGAGCGAGACGTGTTTGGGATAGCAAAACCTGCTGGCGAAAGTCGCTCTTCTACAGCTCTGCTCCATCGTATCACTCCGCTATACAGCGGCTGCTGTCCTTGGATGGTCCACAGGTCTCTTCCTTCCAATAGCTAGGTAGGGAGGAGGTGCCTGCAGTTGTGTATTGCAGAATCATATCAGAGTGGGGGTGGAGACCAGAGGATTATGCAGAGTTGTAATTCCTATTCTTCCTCCCAGTTCTCCCAGGAAGTATTCCTAGGAGAGCTAAGATTTCGCCTATCCCAGCTGGGTGCTGCGCCATCGACACCTGCCCTGCCATCCCCCGGCAGGGACTCTGGGTCAATTTGCCAAAAGCCAATTCACCAAATTTGATGCATTTACCAATTCTTCCATAAATATATTCATGAACTTATTCTTCTTGAACATTTTCTTCTTATGAATATGTTTATTGCTGAATATACCAAATTTACCGATTCTTATGAATACATTCACTGAATATAGTCAAGATGAATACGGTTGCAAATATAATATTCTTATGAATGTATTCATGAATATATTATTCTTATGAATATATCTAAAGTGTCAGGGTTGCATATGGGAGTTTTCCCATTTATGCTGATTTTCTTTGAACTCTTGTCATTTTCTGTTTTGCCAACATTTCAGCATTTTTAGGATGTTTCCTTTGCAAATTTTTCAAATAGCTTATCGACCTTAGAAAAACTATCCTAACTGATATAAATTGCCAGAAACTTTTCCAAGTAGTTTCTTTAATAAACTTTTTATTGAAATATAACATGCGTGTAGAAAAGTACACAAATCATAAGATTCCTACTAGATGAATTGTTATGGAGCGATCCACCTGCGTAGTGGATCAAGAAATGGAACACCTAGGTCAAGAAATGGAATGTTCCCAAGCCCCCAGAGCCTTCTCCATGCCCCCCCCACCTTTACTCCCTCCCTTCTTGTTAAAGGTAACAACTATCTTTCCTTCTAGATTAATTTCATCTGCTTCGAACTTTATATAAATGGAATAATATAGTATGAGTCATTTCATGCTGACTAGTTTTGCTCAACATTATGGTTGTGAGTTATCCTTAGTGTTACATGTAGTGGTGGGATCTTCATGTTCAGTGCTGCATTTTATTCCATTATCTGAATATACCA